GACTGGCCTCGGAGCAGGGTGGCGAGGTGGATGTAGTGATTGGTTCAGTGGCAGTTGGGGGAACTGCTGTTGATAGTGATACTGGGAGATGTTGTGCAGCACTTGGTGCTGGTGAAGCTGGTGTTGCTGGAACTGTTGCATTTGGGCTTGCATTGCCCGCATGCACTGCACCAGGTCGTCCAACCAGTTTTGGCTGGCTGCCAGGGGGACGGCAGTCGGTTTAGTAAAGGTTGTCTCAATACGGGGAGGAAAGGGGATGCTTGTGGCAGGAAGGTTTACGGGCTCCACTGCTTGTGGCGCATTCAAACTGGGGATTCCATCCACCGAAAGGGGGATGGTGAACTGTCCAACGCACACCACGGGAACTTGAAGCTGTTCCCCGGTGGTGTTTGTCTCTGTGCCGCGTCCGGCGTTGCTGGAAGAGGCCATGAGTGTTGGGTTTTTTGAAGAAGAAAAAGGGGGTATGAGAGTTTGGAGGGAGGCTTTTTGAAGCGATCCCACAGACGGCGCCAATTGATGATGCGCAATCCGGCTGGTCTTAGCTGTTAGCGATCTTGCCTCTGAACCGAGTGACAGAGAACTTGAAACGGAGGAGATGAGGAAGCTCCGGGGAGGACCCGGTGTAAAGGCTCCAAAGCTTAAGTTAGAATCCTTCAAAGGCAAGATAAACCAGATAGCGCAAAGTTTGCATACCTCCTCTTTGGGGGTGGAGMRCCTTTTRTAACCACCTCGCGCACTCACTCCTAGACTCCTGTCAGGTCGGGAATGAGTATTTCCGTGCTTCTGCCAGTCCGGGCATCATCGCCTCTGTTGGGGCAAAACCGTCACTGCTCCTTTTGTCGGAGCCGTCTCTGTAACTGGAGGCAGTGGTGACAGGTGACGATGGCAGGTGGGCGTTGGAAATGCGGTCGTCAAGCGTCAGATCCCAAGTCAGTCAGGTGCACCGCCCCTGGATACGGACTCCTTCGGTGTCAAGTACGGCGTGGTTCGTCCAGTTCAATGCTCCGGAAGCGAAGTGCCTGGAGCGGTGCGTGAGGCAAAGTCTCGAGTTCGGATAAGGGGAGGCCCCGAACTGTCATAAGACGGGCCAGTTCAGGTCTCTGCTTTGTGTGACTCGGGGTCAAAAGGGAGAGTTCGGGCTCCTCGCAGGGAGTCCAATCACTAAGTAGGGAGCTCGGGCTTCTTGCTAGGGAGTTCGAACTCCAAGTAGGGAGTTCGGGCACTAAGTAGGGAGGTCGGGCCTCTTGCTAGGGAGTTCGGGCCTGATGGTCCCTTCCCTTTGGTGTTTGTACCCTCGGTATGCTGTCTGGAGTGCCGAGCTACTTGCCTTTTTTGCCACGTGCCGTGATTTGCGAGGTTGAGCCAAATCTTCCTTCATCAATTACCTTCTTGTAGATGGTTCGAGAGGTTGGCGAGCAGAGTAATGAGGAGGAAGAAGGAGAAACCCTCTCAATGGATTTTGGGAGGGTTGATGTGTTTACGGTGAGATGTGATGTACCGTAACACCTTTAAACTGATGTGGCTTAATTGCCAACTCAGATACTAGCAGGATTCATGTAGGACAAAGGTTCTTGAATTGGTGGAGCGATTCAAGAAACACGTCAAAAAATCGTTTCAACTAAATAGTAAATTCCTGAATATTGAGGCAGAATCAGCAGAAATGAATTGTCCCTGAATATCCGGTGCGTTCCATTTATTTGCTGATGTATCATGTCTGCCACCTCAGCAGAAATGAATTGTCCCTGAAACGTATCGATGCCAAACACCATCAAAACGGGGTAGTCTAGATTAGGTAAGAGATGGTGTGTTTGGCTTTAATTAATTTAAAACCTTACGAACAACCTTATTTTACATCGGAAATATCTCTTCACGAAATAAATCACATGACAATTGAAATATTCCCAATCGAAGGCCGCAAAGACTGTTCAAGCGGGTATTGCACCGATCGAAGCTGAACTCACCCCATTGCCATTACAACTTGACTTGTTTTATTATCCCTTTAAAAATGAATATAAGAAAAAAAACTATTACAGATAACAATTAAAGTGGTATTTACTTTTAGAGGTGTTTTAGTGTACTATTTCTCGCAATAATTGATTTCAAGCCTGACCTCAGCTAGACAGCTATTAATCGTGGCGTGGCCAAAAACATACATTTCAACCCCAAAACGCGTAGCATGGGATATTCTTGACAATCATCCAGTAACTATTATTTCATGATTACACATCTAATAAGAGCTTCAATCATCTTTTTTCCATGCTTTCTAATGTATAGTATTCTTGATAGTATTTGCTTGAAGATGGATGGATACACTACTCCGGGACACTCAACCAAGACTTGTTGCAGTCAAAAGTAGTGTGAGCGAGGACTGAGAAGATGGAAACTGAGTTAGGTGATAGAGTTGGTTATTCTATTGAGTTTGAGGATGTGATTGGGTCAAATACCATTATAAAGGTAATCAGCCGATCTGATTTCATATTTTTTCTAATATCTTGTTTATTATTCAGAGTTTTGGGTTCCTATTGTGAGGCAAAATTAATTGTTCTATGATGATGTTTTTGTTGTTCCATAAAATAGTTTAACCAATTGATTATGTATGTAGTCCATCCATATGTTCGTTTTTTTTTTTTTTTTCTTTTTCTAGCTAAACTCTGACATTCTAATTTGGACAGTACACGACAGATGGAGTACTTGTGCGTGAGACCCCGAAAGTTTCTGACCTTAATAAAATACCGGTATGGTTAAGCTTTTGCTTTCATTAATTTGGAATATGGGTCGTGGGTGGTAGTTTGATCGATCTATGGTTGAGTTCCCACTTGATCCACCATGTCATGGGGGAATAATTAGGATTTGTAATGTCGCAGCTTCCAACCCCACTAATTTGGTTGATTTCATTCTTGAATTTAAGATAAAAAACAAAATACATAACTTTGTGTGTGTGTGTGTTTTTTTTTGGTAAACGATCAAAATACATAACAGGTGCTATACTTCCAGTGCCAGTTGGGATGGGGACACCACAAAACACATAGAGTTGACGATGCTGTGAATACACGGGAATGCTTACAGAACGAAAGATATCGACTTCGTCTACAGCTGCCATCTTAGCCGAGTGATGAACAGCACTGTTATGTTGTTGGAAGAAATGGGAAAAGCAGATGTCTTTCTTCTTAGCTATGATTCTATACGGTGCTATGGCAGCTGCATCTGTGAGAATTGCAATCACTGTCTGTCTGGGAGTCCCCCTCAGATGATGAGTTGAGGCCAGGCCAGCTAAAGGATCATGCCAATTTCTTCAATGGACTCAAGGTACTCCGCCTACAGCCTATAGGTGTAATGTGGGCGGGGGTTATTAGAAAGGGCAATAATTTTGCGATTGGTTGTCAGGTTGGGGCGATATTTAGGTTGGGCAATTTTTTGTAGTGTTTAGAGTTCAGTGCACTGTTCACCTTAGATATTTTTATTAGATTTTTGGCTTTTATTCAATTAGGGTAGGAAAAAGTAGGAAAAGGAAGGGATAGATATGAAAATTTATACAAGGTTTGTAAGGTTCCACTGCCGAGAGTTGTAGCGGTGACTAGAGAAAGAGGGAAATGCAAAGGGGTGAAGAAAATGGCAATCAGAGAAAGAAATAGATTTGATTCATTGCTGCCGCATAGTGAAGAAAGCAGTGAAGGATTGTGCCACCGCCGCCTCCTTTGTTTTAACAGGGAAGACAATGAATAGTATCTAGTTTGTTGCTGTTGTCGAAAGGAATGGGGACTATTCGTCGTTGCCGTCGCCACTGGTCCGTGGTAAGGAGACTCTTCATCACTGGTTCATCGCTGCTGTCGAAAGGAAGGGGACTGTTTGCCATCACCTCTAGTCTGTGGTAGGGAGGTTTGTCGCCTTATTCTAGTTGAAGAAGAAGAAGAAGACACATTCCTTTAAATGATTTTCTCAAGTTTTTCCATCGGAATTGCATTGTTTTGGTGCAACCCCAATTACACAAATTTGGGATCCCACATCCCACTTTTTTCTCATATTTTATAAGAACATCTTCATCCCCACAAACCAAATAAAGCCTAAAGGTTTTTCTAACTTTCCCTTCCTTTTCCTACTTTTTACTTCAAACCAAACAACCTTAAGATTCACCATCTCCTTGTAGTTTTTTTCATTTCCAGCCCCACCCCACCTGGCCCTCCAACGACATTTGCTATGACGCTATCCTAATGCCGTGCAGTGCTGAAACAACAAAAATCGAAGCCTTTGATTTATAATGAATTGACATTTTAGCAGGGGCACAACAATAAATCACTGTTCCAATGGTACAAATTGTAAATTTGTAAGAAACTTTAAGGGGTGTACTGAACAATAAAAACTCCTTATCGGACGGAAACCCCAGGGGTAGGAAACTACGAGTGATTTACCATGTATGAAAAGCGGTGGTTGACTAAGATATCGATTTAATTTAAAAAACTGATGAATTAATTTGGCTCTTTTTGACCCTGAAATAAAAACATGTAGCCACCTACTACTTAAACCATGCTATCTGGTAAAGTCTCAGAGCAAAAATCCGAATTGGCACCTTCAATTTCTCTCCTTCTAATAATATTCAAGCGACCCACATCTTCAATTTCACCTTCTACCACCTTTAACTACCATCTTTATAAAAAAAGAAAAAATGTTGAAGCATTAAATACGATCCTGGTTACGTGGAGGACGCTTGATTAGTTCATGGAAGGAGGGACGGAAAAACTCGCTTTTCCCCATTCTCAACTCACACGGTTGGGATGTGATGTGGGGCGCGTGTGATTCGCAGCTGCGTGGGAGCCGATGCGAATTCCACCTACACGGAATTGATCTTGTCATATTCGGTTCAGTCTTTTAATTCGTCTTCGTCTCTGATTTCTTCGCTATCAGACGCATCTTCTTCGTAAAGGTCGAGCAGATTCCTCTCCCTCTCCTGTAACAGAGACGCGGTCGGCCACAGAGAAACTGATGTATGCATGCATATAAATATATATCTTCAATTGCAACATTCATCGCCGCAGACTCTCATTGCAAGTTCGTTAATTCTCTCTCACTCTCGATCTCTATACACCGCTCGATTTCAATTTCCTCACAGAAATGAATAAATTCGACGTCAACCGATACGAAGGTGTCTTCCACTACTTTGATGAGAACAGAGACGGTAAGATTTCGCCCTCTGAACTGCAGGCTTGTGTAATGAGAATAGGTGGGGAGTTGTTGTTGGAAGAGTCTGAGGCGGTGACTGAGTCCCTGGATTCAGATGGAGACGGAATGCTGGAGTTGGAGGATTTCGTTGGTTTAATGGAAGCTGAAGGAGAAGAAGAGAAGATGAGGGATATGAAACAAGCCTTTGGAATGTATGAGATGGATGGTTCTGGGTTCATTACAGCCAAGAGTTTGAAAAGGATGCTTAGTCGATTAGGCATGTCGAGGCCGATGGATGAATGTAGCATCATGATTACTCGGTTTGATCTCAATGGCGATGGCATGCTTAGCTTCGACGAATTCTGTATTATGATGCATAATTGATTGATTAATTACAAATACTTTATTTTTCTGCTGCAATGTTGAGTGGATTCAAATTATTGTATTCGTTTGTTGTTGTATGACTCCTCATCACACATGCATGAAAGGCTGTTGATATATAAATCATCAATTCATTCTACTTTTGCGTAGCTTTTGGATTTTGAAATTAATTTGAATCCATAATTGTTAATGTTACATAAATCACTTGGAATATGTATTATATTTTAGGGTAAAATACAAAAATCTACCCTGTAGTTTAATTTTAACAAATACTTTCCCTAAACTTTTGAAAAAATCACCAGAAACCTTCCTTCTGTCACTAATCCAGACCGAAAACATAAAATTACCCCTGACTATTTATCAGGGCATCATTGAAAATATATTAAAATTCTAAAGATGTTCTCATTCAATTAACATAACTCTTGTGATTTTATGAGCCTTTTTTTCAAAGCAAAAGAATAAAGTTTAAACCCTAATACCACTAAACACTTGCATGGCACCATCATTCAAAATATTCCATTCACCTAGGAATATTTCCCATTTTCTGTAAACCGTTCTTTACCAGTCACTATTCTTTACCGGTAACTGTTCTTCATTGTCTACAATATCTAGTTCCCCCCTCGAGCAATTTCTCACCAAAGTTTTTTTTCCCATTTCTCTTGCTATGAGGATTGCATTTCACAAATAGATGTGAGTATTCTCACCAATACCACATTGAAAAATAACCAAGGCTCCCAAGGACAAGAAATCCATTCCTCTTCAGTGCTGTAATATGTTAATGCTTTATTTTGAAGGTGTTACTAGCATCATTAGTGGCTTGTAAGTTGAGTAACCAGCAGCCAACCGATAAAAAATTGGGGACCAAACAGAGTTATGCTTCATCGAATCCAAAAGCACAGAAATAATAAAAGCACAAATTCATTGAAGCCCACAAAAACTAAATTAGAGATTCAATAAATGACATTTCGTATGACCCAAAATGAGAAAAAATATGCATTCAGAAGTGTCCATAAATACATAAAACCCAAAAGCAAAATAGGGGGAAATGTTGAACAGTGTAACAATTACTTTTATTTCTGATATGCAATCAAACCCAAGAATTCATCATTTGGTATTTTCGCTAGAAAACCAGTATCATAAATCCAAGATGTGATTAAAAGATTAGGTGGCCTTTAAGTTGATTAACACACTTCTCGGCCAACCTTCCGGTGAAGAACAATCACCTGCAATAGTTCACCTTCTAATCTATAGCTAAAGTTCAAATTTTATCTGCATTTTCCTGTGCATAAACCAGAAAAGTTGCCTCACTTCTCCACCAGACAATTTCCGGTGGTCAAATCTTGTTTCCCTTCTTGACTGGAGTAAGCTTCAGGGCTGAAAGAGTCAACGGTGGTTGCTACCTTTTCTTGAGTTGATGGAGTTTTAAGAATGGGAGATTGAAAGAGGAGAAAATGATAAATATTCTTCCAGGGAGGCTACTGTTGATTTTTTCAAAAGTTCAAGGGAAGTGCTTGTTAAAATGAAACTAGAGGGGAAGTGTTTATGATTGTCAGAAGCTTCAAGGAAGGTTTTTGTATTTTACCCTATATTTTATTAATACAACTTAGTGATGACAATTTTTTCCATTACGCCTCGTGGCTCCAGTGGGGCCGGTTTTCCCCAATGTTAAACAGGGTAGATAGGGATCCCCTAAATTGGGAGCTGAGTTTAGGAGTGCCAATTGGACCAGATTTGGTCCAATCCAATTCTGTCCAATACGAATCCATTACAGATGGACCAGGTCCAATCCAATCCTGTCCAATATAAGTATATTACAGATGGATCCGGTCTAATCCATTCCTATGAATATTTTAGATGATTTTGGATCAGTCCAAGTCAATGTCTGGACTGCCAAATCTATTCAAACTAGTTTTTAATTTAGACTCGTTCCCATTCAAACCTGGTCTATTGACACATGTACTCTTATCTTTTATCAATGCACTAGATATTGGCTTAATCTGACCCAATCTAATATAAATCCATTACAAATGGACCAGGTCCAGTCCAATCCATTATCCATTAAATACTTTGGACCATTAAATTTGGACTGGTTCAATTCAATATGTGGTCCGCCCAATCTGTCCTAATTGATTTTAATTTGGATGGAGTCTAATTCAAAACCAGTCCATTGACACCCAAATCTGGGTTTGTGAATCTGATGATAAATTATTAATTTTTTAAAATTTTTTTTATTAATTTTTGAAATGTCCTTAAGTTTTCTTTTTCAAAATTTCAAAATTCTAAGAACACAGTCCAATTTTTAAAATACCCTCAATTTTTTTATAATATTATTTTTAAAATATTCCTAATTCCCATAATTCCATTTCTAAAACTCCCTTAATTGGCTTCTTTTATATTATTTAAAATTGAATATAAGGAAAAAACTACATAATAAAACAGTTACAGATAATAATCAATAAAAACCCCATGTTATTAAAGTGGTATTTACAATAATTTATTTTATTTGATAAATAAAGTGGTATTTACTTTTAGAGCAGATTAATAATGCAAACTTGTGGCGAGAATAATTAATTATTATAAATAAATAAATAAATAAATAAGGAGGTGTTTAATGTACACTTTGGTTGTGAGGGCCCAACAACATAGGCTGTTGAGCACATTCTGGGCAGTTCACCTATTCACGTCAATGCTTTGGTTTTTAATAAAAATAAATTAAGATATAATTACTAATTTATCTATTCTGATGATAAAATGGTATTCCTAAAAATTCTCTCAACACCATAAACTGTTGGCCCCTAACAGCTAAAGTTTTTTCTCGCATAGTTGATTCAGAAAAATTTTAGCTGCTGGAGGCCAACAGCCTACCTTTGAGAGAATTTTTGGAAATGAAACGTTATAATGAGAATGGGTGAATTAATAATTACGTCTTAATTTATTTTGACTAAAAACCAAAGCATGGGCGTTAATGGTGAATTGCCCTGTATGCCCAGAACGGAACTGTCTCAACAGCCTGTTGGGCCCCAACAGCCAAAGTTAACCCGTTGATTTCAGGACAGACCTCAGCTTGTGGCGTGGTTAGAAACATTCATTTCAAGTTTTCAACCCCAAAACGCGTTCTGAAGTTAAAAAGTTTAGATGGTTGGGAATCAATCATCTCATTATCTATGGTTCTTGGCATCGCGTATACATGACATTCCAGAATCTGGTGGTCGCGCTTGGTTATCGTCATTGTCTATGACATCTGGTTATCAATTATTAAACGAGAACGCGTTCGACAAAATGCTCCACTGGACTTCGTTGATAGCTCTTGTATTCGATTAACTGTTACTTTCATACTAAAAGGAGGCATCTATTCCATCCAAGGCAAGTAATAGTACTTCAATACACATTTCGATTGACTACTGTTTGATACGCCAAAGGTACAACTAGAACTAGTTGATTGAAACTTCTTTTGTTTCGGGTTTGGAAGAGCGTCGTTGTTTCCTATCCATCAGGTAATTCATCCACCATTATTTGTAACTTGTCGACTATGTTTCCCGCACTCGGTCTCGAAGATGGGTTTTCTTCCACACACGCTCTTGCGAGATTAGCCAATGTAACCGCCGAGTCGAACGAATAATTATTCCCCAATGCTGGGTCCATCCAGGCCATCAGTTCGCCCCCATCATCCGACCTTAAAATTGTTTTAATCTTCTCTGAAAGCCGAACATTATCTTCTTCCTTCTCGTCGGCTCTGGTTATTGGAGTTCGACCGGATAAGATCTCTAACAACACCACCCCATAGGCAAATATATCGGTGCTCGGAGATATAGTACCGTGTTGAAGATACTCAGGTGCTAGATAACCTTTGATCCAATAGGTGGGGGGAGTGGAAGTAGACTGCAGTTCCTCAAACTCATCTTCGGTGCAACTCGACATGCCAAAATTTCCAACCTTTGCGTGGAATTCTTCGTCCAAAAAGATGTTTCTGCTCTTTATATTCCTGTGCACGTAGCTGGGGTGCATGATTTGGTGCATATACTGTAAGGCAATGGCTACGTCAAGACACACCCTCAACCTTTGGGTCCAGGTCAAGAAACAATAACAGGAAGCAATGAATTGGCTCTTCATTGCCAACCCAGCATGAAGCCAGTCCTTCAAGGACCCATTCTTGGCAAACTCGAATACCAGGTATGATTCGGTTTCGCCGTTCCAACAGGTTCCTAACAGCCGAAGTATGTGAGGGTGACTACGATTGGCATCATTGAAAAGCCCAAAGTCGACCTTGGAGATGGTTTCTGGATGTATTTGCTTTATTGCCAGATACTTCCCATTAAGGCGGCCTTGAAACACGGATCCCTCAATGAGATTATTCCAACTGAAATCCTCAGTGGCTTTTGTTAGCTCTTCAATGGTGTATGTCTCTAAGATCAACTTATGATGTGTGGTGTCGCCTCTGTGGCTAACGAGATGACGGTCATGGCGATCCTCAAAGAACTCTTTTTTATATCTGAGAGTTCTTATACTTTGCTCTTGTACTTCCATATCTCCGGCCTTGCAAAAGTTTGGCTTCTTCTTCCTTCTCCGTTGGATCACCAGGATTATTGCTGCAATTGCAACACTGACACCTATTGCTATCCCACTAACTGCAATGTAAACTCCAACCCTCCACAATGTTGATCTTTTGGATCGAACCTTTGGTGGATCAACGACTGGTATGCCAACATTGGGGTAATCCAAAAGAGGAGCAAGAGTTGGTCTGTTGTTAAGTGGGATCAGAAGAGTTGAAGCCGATACCAAACTCTTCATGTTAAAGTCGTTTGATCTGTTATTTGCAGAGATTATTGCTTCTATAGTAGTATTGAGCTTGGAGGATAAGTTAGAAACAGTATCATCAACTGCACTCTTTCTTGGAGACCCCATGGTGAGATGCTTGGGTTCTCATAACTAATGGCTTTACAGGTTGTCAAGCCTTCCAGTGATTCTGCTATCCCATAAAAGCTCTCACCTTTAATGGTGGTCTTGGTAACTCTGGCCCGATAGAAACCTCCTCCATTACATTCACAGTCAATTGGGATCAGCAAAGGTTGTCCTTGTGGAAGATAGTCGGTGTCAGCAGAGAACCCACTTGCTTCAGAAATTGCTGTTTGATTAAGGCCCAAGTAGAAACTCAGATTGAAAAGAGACGAGTAATACGAGTTGGTGCGGAACACTGCGAACGTTCCGCACTTGTCCTGTGATCCAAAACCATTGCACCGGTAACCAGAAGCATCTAGCGAATTCGTATCGCAGTTTAATAAGCTCTGTCCCTCCAACGAAACTGAGACAAGAACGAAGAAGAGTAGGGATCGTAAGCAGAGGTAAGAGAAAAGAGTTGCCATGAGCTAACCAATTGTACTCTTAAGTAAAAAGATATGTTGAGCAAGTTAACACTTTGGATCATCAATACACTGATCGATAGTGTTTATTGTTGTAAAAAGTATTATTTAAAAGGTGTTGATCCTAAACGGGGTCCTTGGGTGCGACCAAAAATTTAATATATAAACTGTCAAATCAAATTCCAGGCTTCCAGCTGTTTATGTCCCCATTCACCTTGGATTTGATTCTATAGACAGAGATGATTTTCATCCAATTAAACAGCTGCTTCTGTACTTAAAATTACACTTTTAAAAAACTAATTTAAAGAATTCCGTGCTATACCTTTGGATATGTGATATACCCAGCAAGAAAGAGCTAGTGGCTTTACTGGGCTTTAATTAATTTTTGTTATCTGTTAATTACTTGTATGTATATAACTGTATATGTTACTTAGATATGTAATATGTAGACTTTTTTCTTACTCTCTCACTAACGTAAAGACTGGATTAAGGAAATGTGGATGGTATATAGACGATAGAGATGATGTTTATCCTTGGAGAAATGGAGATAGGGGCTCGGGTTGGCCCAAATGCCCCAATTTAACATTTTACATTATTTTGTGGCTCGAGCTTTGGGTTGGGACTCATTTAAATTTTGACAAAATTTCAACCCTAACACGCCCAGGTTGTAATTCTACTTGGAAAAGATGTTGTAGGGTGGATGAAAACGCTAAAATCCATGAGATGAGACGGTGCTGTTAGCTAAAGATGAGGCATAAAAGATATGCCAAAGCAGAAATTGGTCAATCTAGCCATGGATGGCCTATGTTGACAAACACCACCAATGGAAAGAAAAAAAAAAAGAAAAAGAAAACATGAACAAAAAGGGTAAATTACATAGATATTCTTTGCAGTTTGCACTTTCGTTGTGCAAGATTTTTGTCAATTCAACCAATTCTTTTTAAGTAGTGCATAATTATCTTGTAATTTATTGTAATTTCAAATGGTTTTTAAATCATTTCCTTCTTTAAGCTCGGTTCGCTTTTTTGGTAAGTTATTTATTTGGGTAAATGCAGTTATTTGGGTAAGTTTTTCTTGAGAAACACTCACCCGGGTAAGTGCATTTACCCATGTTCTTTTATTTATTATGTAAATAAGGTAATGCCCATTTTAACCATAAAAATCCATTATTAAAAAGGGCATTTTTGTTCCATTCAAGTGTTGACAACTTTCCCTCTATGTGGGAAAGCTATTTACCCACCTAGGAGATGTGTATCATTTACCCGAGTAATTGAGACCCAAGAAAATAAACTTTCATCTGGTCTCCACATAAATCTGAAAAAAAGAACTTAGGTTTTTTGGTCAATGAGAACCAAAATCCCATTGACCAACTTTCCCCATTCTCAAAATCCGAAAAAAGAACGCCCCCTTAATGAATATATAATATAAATCTATGTATTATAAGACATTTCTAAAGCCCTAAAATGACTATTTTAGTATTTATCCATTTGATTTTACTAAAAGGGATAATACGGCCATGGTATTCTGACCAAGGATTTAAGCCATTGACTTGTGCTTCAAAACCAGTCGATAAATTTTGAAAATCCATAGTGATGGTATTCTGACCAAGGACATCCACCTTTTCAATCACCATTGCAAAGATACTACTACCACCCCTCATCAGCACCATCGTTACTTAAACACCATCACCTATATATATTTCATCTCTCTTTTTACCTTCTCTACTTTCTTTTATTTTGTCCCGTCTCAATATTTTCCTCTAGTCCTTTTCCCCTTCTTTTTAATTGTGCTGCCAGTTCTGATTAGCTGCAGTATATGGCTGTGTTAATGGCGGTTTAATCAATAACAATGTCCCAAATCAGGGAGTGTTTGTATATGACTGATGTAGTGATGTGGGGCCAGCATTTTTATAGGGTGAATTTTCCTTGCAACCTGGGGTAGAGTTAGAAATTTTTTATGAAGGAGCCAAAACCTAAAGTGGAATGGGAAAGGGGGAATAAGTATGGATGGGCCCATACAGGGGGGCCAACCATTGGAATGAAGAATTTAGAAGGAGGGATTTTACATGAAAAATTTTATTCTAAGTAGAGAATTCTGGACCATAGGGGGCCAGCCATCATGTGCAGCTAATCTGGCATGGATGTATGCACTTTTGTTATTACCATTTATGAATTCGGATTAGCTGAACGTTTCAGTTGTTTAGTGGGCTATGAAATCAATGATAATATTTCATGTCAGTGATCTCATTATAAAAAATGCGAGCCCCATGTGTTTAAATACTGGCATGAAATTTTATCACCGGTTCTACAGCCTAGCCTGCTCAACAGTTAAAACGTTCAACTAAACCTTGCTCCCCATTTATACGCATGTCATAATAACGTTGATCTTTTCTTCTCCCCAATCCCAAACTCGTATAAAAGGTCGAATTAGTATGAAGGAGAGGATGTAATGTCTTACTGTCATGTTAGCCGGCCATAAAAGAAACTAAATTAAGATTTTATATTTTGACTACAAATTCAACACGGAAAATTTAAAAACTTTAGCAGCCACCCAATTTACTCGATCTACCACTTGAACTCCCAATTTACTCCGAACACTCAATCAGACCTTTTCAATCCCTCCAAAAACCAAAAAACCTAAGGAACCTGATTCTCATTCCAAAAGCCTCTAAATCCACCGTAAAATTTGTTCAATACCAAACCGATGATCCCAATTAATCCTCATTTATAGCTTGTCCATTAAATCAGACATACCCATCCGAATCCAAACATCCTAAAATACCTACCCACCAAAATTCAACTCGAGACTTCTCTGTTTATTATTTCATCAAATTAAGATTCTGTTTTAAGTCCTCTCATTAGCTTAAACACCCATAACCCAGATCCCCTTGATCTAAACACATTTGAACCAATCAGACCACAACACTGAACTCTAAACATACTAAAACATCTACCCATGAAATTTCAACCCAATATTCCCCCATTTACTCCTTTATCATATTGAGATTTAGTTTTGAATTCTCTTGTTGACCTGAATTCCCATGATCTTGACCCCCTTGAACCAATAGGACATTACCACCAGATCCCATATATCTAAAATACTCACATGCCAAATTTTGTCCCATCGCACCAATATTCCATTTTGAAGTTCCAGACTAACCAAATTAAGCCCCCTCGATATCTGCCTAATCCAAGCTCATTTTAGCCAATTTGACCCCACCAATCGATCCACAATGATAAAAAATCCCACTGTACCAATTTTCAATCAAAAATACCTCTTACTTTCCGTTCATAAAAAAAGGTTCTGTTTCTGTTAATCTCATTAGTACATACACAAAATCACTTTATATAGTCAGACTTATCTCTGCCCTTCATTTATTTATCCAAAATCCCATCATTATACCAGAATCCCTGTTTGACATATTTGACCCAATTTCCGGAAATAACCAAAATACCACTGAATTTTCTAAAATTTATGAAACGGCCCTTAACCATACCTATAAATATAAGACAGCACTCGTCTTTTTCCTAATCCGAAGAGAGCACTCGTCTTCTTCTTCCCTCGACCTTAAACCAGCGGCGGAAAAACCTCCCTCTTTCCGCCTACATCTCTCTCCCTTTCTCTTCTCCATATTTTCCCCCTCTTCTCCATCATCTTCTCGCTGTTGATCGTCTCTTCCGACGTGAACAGGGAAGTTGCAGCGGCGGAGCTCTCACCTTTTTTCTATTCGAATCCGGCGCAATCAAATATTCTCTCTCCCCTTTCCGCTGTTCATCGATTGCTAGCAGTCCGAAATGAGGGGTAATAGAGATGGACATCATGGTGAGAGAAAAGATATCGAGGATGAAATGAAGGGTGAGAGCAGGAGGGTGAGACAAAGATATAGTGATGAGAGTATGGAACACTCTCATGGAAGAGAAAAACACAGTCGTTATGCATATGATCAAAATTATGGTGGAGAACATGAAAGAAAACGAAGTAAATATGAGTATTCTTCTAGGAGAACACCTGGTAAGTTTCGCCTATCTGTTTCTTTAATACTTGAATGGTTGGGGTATCTATTCACTATAATAACAAGTTGAGTTGAACACCTGAGTTTATGTAATTGTATTGTACAGGTCATTCTGCTTCTCCCTGGGACCACATTTCTCCTTCTCCAGTTCCAATACGTGCATCTGGATCCTCAGTCAGATCATCAAATTCTTATCCTGGTAGAAGGTCCCATCAATTTTCTTCCGAAAATTCAGAACCAGGTTATAAGGTACTTTTTGCTTATGAACCTTATGTATTCTTGAAACTAAATGCTAGTGTTAGATGCACATTCATCCTTGCTCACCTCTCTGTGTTGTTTATGCCCTGCTTTTTGTGTTACTTTATGAATTATCAATCATATTGTATTTTTTATTTGCTGCTTACAGATTTCATTTTTTTTCCCTTTGTATATTGTTTCTTAGCTTCCTTTGTCTTAACTACAGGATGGGGAAGCTCGCAAAACTAAAGAACATAATCATGAGATTACTGAAAGAATGAGTCTAGAGATGGATTATAATTCTGACTGTGCATGGTAATTGAATGCTTTCAATTTTTTTATTTGTTTCCAAGATAATTGGTGGACGTTTTATATGTTCTTGTTTGTGAACAATGTTTGAGGTTCATTTAATGCCATATTTGGTTATCATTTTGAGTAACCTGAAAGCATTGTAACTTGTAAAATCAGTTTCACCAAACTCAAGTAATTCTTCTTCTAGAAACCAGTTTTCATTTGTAACATGTTAGTTGTTTTGAATCAGCAAGGTCAGGTAGATTGTCCCAGAGGTTGTGGATAGAACTACCCTGAAAATGCTGAAGCTAAATGTTTGGCTTCATTTAATTGTTACTGATGTGTTTGGCTTCATTTTTCATTTTTCGAAATGCTTATTTAATGCATGTTTGGCACTGATGTGTTTTCTGAAAGTTTTGTTTACCATCTTTGTCACAGCAGAAAAATAATGGAAATATCATTTAATTGCATTTGGAAAAATGTTTTTTTTATCGGAAAAGCGTTGCTGCAATGGTTATGCCTTGGGTTTTGTGAGAGCGTGGGTTTCTTGAATTGTCGAGGTGGTGTTTCTTCAGTCTGCATGGTGATCTTAAATCACCAATATGATGTGGCACACTGAAGTCTGAAAAAGCTGACAGCTTTTCTGAGATGTCATACCCTTGTTATAATGAAAATATTTTAGGGAGAATGACGGTTCAGCCCAGGGTCAGAATTTTTAG